AATTCCTCGGCCTACTTGGAGCACATCACCGATCCGATCGTATCCCTAATGTGTTCAATCTTAGCACCGGGAAACTGACTGAAAGAAACCTGAGCTCCTGAATCGCTCTGAATTCCATCGCTCCCTCAAGACGCCTGACGTTCGAGTCACCGACGATTACAAGGGCCCGAGTTTTCCCTCTCCCTTTCAACACGGCCTGAGCTTGTCCTGCCGACCTCACACCTGTTCCCACCCCGCCCTCCGTTCCCTCATCCAAGCTGACCTCCCTCAACGCGAGAAACTTGTTTTCGGTAATAATGACTGCCTCCTGGGATCGCTCAACCTTCGCCCCCTTTACGACCTGAGCCCAATTACAAGCCACTTGGGAGTACCCTTACGGAAATGTCCTATAGGAAACCTTTAGCTATTATTTATAGGAAACCTATAGACTTTCCTATAGGTTTTTGAAACACGAAAAACCTAAAATCCCTTTAGAATCCTATAGGATCCTTATAGGGTCTTATAGGTCTCTTGACCTATAGGACTAAGGGAGGATATTTTCGGTTTCGAAATCCAGGCATTACGACGGAAAAGGCGACCGGGGTTAATATTGGCACAGCATTTCGGTGTAAATCAAAAACCGATTAGGGGTTTTTCCATGGTAGGGGGGACATGCATTAGTTATACCAGTACTGTAGGGGTCTGCATAATTTATGTCGCTGGATTTCACGTATACTTCCTTCGGTAGAGAGAAGTAGTATTCTTTTCTCGACCTAAGGAAACATAAGACAGAACCTGCGAGCACGCCTCTTTACTGAAACTCCATTTGGATAGAGTCCACACATTTTCGTACGTGGTTTTCAAAAGGAATAAGGGCATATTTCTTCACGGGACTACAATGATTCTATCTGGAAGATGGGGATGGCAAAGAAGGAACTGTTGAAGTTTATTGGTTGCTACAATGAGGCAAGGCGAGACATTTAGGGATGTACAAAACTCTCTTGTGAGAGATGATTTCTTGGGTAAGGGGAGAGCACTTTTGTGCCCTTTGAGAAATGCAAGAACCCAGTTTTTCCATCTAGTGGCTTAGAGGAGAACTTCAAACGGAACCCTATAGGCCTATAGGGTTCCATATAAGTCCTATAGGGAACCCTATAGGTCCTATAGGGAACCCTATAGGTCCTATTGGGAACCCTATAGGCCCTATAGGGAACCCTATAGGTCCTATAGGGAACCCTACACCAAAATATCCCTTGGGATGCCCAGGAAATGTCTCGGGAAACCCAGGATATCCCTTGGATATCGCCTTATGAGGAACCCTATTGGTTCTATAGGGGGCTCTATAGGTTCTATGGGGAACTCTATAGGTTCTATAGGGAACTCTATAGGTTCTATAGGGGACTCTATAGGTCCCGAACTGAACTCTATGGGGCATATAGGAACCTATAGGATTCCTTTAGGTTCCTATAGGATTCCTTTAGGTTCTTATAGGATTCTTATAGGAATATATAGGAATCCTATAAGACATTTTCGTAAGGGTAGGCGCTCGACGCGCTGTCAAAAGGACGAATGGGCCACCCTCCCTGTACAGTCCGGAAGGCTGGGGACCCCCCGGAGTGCCTCCTCCACCCTAACTAGCCTCGCCGCTAAATCATCCCTCTCCCTCGCTCACCTCCTTCCTGATCCCTCTTATCTCCTCCTCCACGCTAATGAGCCTTCCCAATAGCTCCCCTAGTCGCTCCTCCAAGCTACAAACTCTGCAAACATGTGCTGCAACCAAGCTACAAACATGTCAGCTGGCTATGAAACGAATCCAGTGTATCCATGATATCACAATCACAAAGCACCCTAGTGAATATGCTTCTCCATTCTTGTCAGTTGATCCAACACCATATGCATCAAGTTCGACTTGCTGTTCATTCACAAGGAAATCTTTTGGAAGAGTAATGACTAAGGAAAGACGAAGCCGAGTCATTATGAACTGGAAACTACTCCTATAAAGCCAGAGTTCTTATGGATTTAAGAGGCAAGAGTTGCCCGAACACCTTCCTAAAAGCAAAGAATCAAAAGTAAGGGGTGCATGATTCGCTTATGAAGGTATGAAGTATCTCCGTCAAGAGCCGAACATTTCCATTCCTGAGCTTCTATGTCAGAAAAACCCAGGGTTTTTCATATTTTCATCACCAATGCCTGCTACACTTGTACGTGCTGTACATATGATAATGTTGAATATTATGATTGCATATATTGGAAAATAGGGTAATATTGGATCGACCAGGGCATTTCCGTTCTATCATTACCACATTCATTATTGAAAAGGAATGGAGATTCCTCTGTTTGATGCACTGATTTGCATACTTCAGCCATCTGCACCGAAGAATAATGATTCCAGAATCAGGAGCATATATTCGATTCGATAATGGGCTTCAGGATGCAATTTTTGTCATTTTGTCGGCCGTATTTCAATTGATCCTCTTCGTTCAGACTGCCAACAATGACATCCGATCGCGAAGTCACCATCTTTCTCAATAATAGTGCCTTATTGTAAGGACAACGCAATGAAGTCTCTTTGGAAGCAAGGCCCAACCCTCGTGATGCACGTTCGCGCTCATGCAGAAGTTAATATTGCCTCAAGATTTCCAATACCAACGTCCATGAGTTCACCATGGTATCTCCATAAAGATCCAAATTTCCCTACATCTTCTTTTGCGTTTTATTCCACCACCGAAAAGAAGGGAAATAGCAGTGACAAATTGCGTCAGATGTGTCGTCAGTGAAAAGCCTACATTATTTGAAATGGCAAAAGAGGAAGTACCTCACCTCCAAAAATGAGACATCAAGAATATTCAACTATTCAGATTTATTGATGACTTTGATGGAGAAGTCTGGCATTTATTCAATTTCTACATAACTGGTGCTGAAGCAGGGGGCATTAATCCTAACATCCACTGAAATTAGCATGACTAGTAGCATAATTAGCAAATTAGCATAATTTCTGCATAACTGGTGCTGAAGCAGGGGGTTTTTCTGTCCAACCCAGTCGAGACTAAATTTAACATCCTCTGAAATAACCATCAATAGGCGCGGTTGCGCTGACTATTACCTCTCTTCAACCCCTTCCCGCGACAAAATTCAACCGTCTCGTGTTCCTATCTGAGAGCATCAACATGAACGAAATTTGGCATGCTTATTACTCTCTCAACTTATAATCGCTGAAAGAGCCATGAGAGATTGAATAGGCCTGCGTTTGGCCTAACGTTACACGTCTTTGACAAGGTGTCTGGAAGACCAGAAATTAATCATAATTCGCCTAATTGGCTCAGTAAGTCGACGATTGAGTTTCTTTTGGACGGAAGAAAGTAGGCCGAGGACTGACGCGAGGACAGTCCGTCGGTTAGGCCTAGGCGTAACGTTAGTGAGATAGTGAGTTCGTAGAGAAGAAGGTGGGGGGGGGGGGGGAGGTTAAGGTTGGGGTTGAAGAAAGGTAAAGCCATCGGAAAATGATTTTCACATTACTACATTCGTACATTCAATAGCGTACACTGTCAGCTGCTGCGGATCCACGACCAAGTGATCCTTCGCCATTCCCTGGAAGTTGGATCCGTTGCAGGAGGGTACCAATCCCACCAACATGTTGCCCGCCCCACCGCGGCTGACGGCAGCTCCTCCTCCAACTAAAACCAAATCAAAGTAATCATGGATTTCGCTGATGAACGCGTGCTTGAAAAGAATTGAGACTAGAAGTGGGAAGGCAATCAGCTATGAATAGAAAATGAAGTTGTTGCAATTGGTATCCAATGTTTTGGATTTCTTTTAATGATGGGTGATAAAAGACACTTTTAGTCACAGTGTTTCCTGGAACGGGACAGTTCCAATGGGTGACTTTGCGTCATCAAGCGGATACCCAAAGTTCTTTTTTCAAATTAACAACTGAAATCCAAGAACAAAACAAGAAGTGTTAATGGAAGCGAAAATTCTCCCTTCAGTCTCGAACCAGAAGCTCAAAATCACTTTCAAATTCTGCCATAGGGCATCTCCAAGAAAGCCTCGGAGCACGACTTTTCCAACTCCTTCGATATTCCTGGAGGAAAGCCTAATGGAACGTTCTTCAAGTCATTTACTCTATTAACAGTGCCAAAGCCGGGCAAAGGGAATTCGAATTTTCTATACGAAGTACCCGGAAAATACTGATGCCCCAAGATCAGCGGAATTTAAACAAATTCAGCCTCGAAAATGACTGCGTTGTGACACCAACTCATTGGCAGGCAGTCCTTAATACGAAAACTACATATCCAGGAAGTATTCTAAATATATGTCTGAGATTTTTTTCTTTAATACCTAATTTCAGGAAGCAAGTCATAATACGGTCTCATCTGAATTCTGGAAAAGGCGGTACTAGGACAATCGTTTCTTTTGCAATAATCAGTCTTTCATTTTCAGTCCGATTTCGTATTCCTTTAGTTGGAGGCGCTAAATCAAAACATATCTTTGAGATGTACTGGAAAGACCGCTTAAAACTCTTACGAATGACCTGTTCCATACAAAAGAGATCCGTTTCGTTCCACCATCCAGTTTCTAATATTATTGCAGAGTGAAGGATGAGATTCGCTCACCAATCACACGTCCTGGAGATGCCGTAATCGTTTGAGAGGGATGTTGTGCCATGGCGGACGTGGCACTCTTCAAAGAGCAGTTTGGCTTCCCGAAGAGCACGCTGCGCAGTCCGATTGCATAGGCCTTAATGTTTGCTGGCGACACAACTAAATGGTCCTTTCCGCCGGCTATCCAGGATTTCCCGTCGTCACCGGGTCGACTTGCGACGAGAAGATTGCCTGGCTCCGCATACATGTCGTAGGCGCCGCCTCCCACCAAAGCGTAACTGTCTTCGAGCTGTACCGTGACCACCGGATGTTGCTGCGGCGTTCCCAACTCCGTTTCGTTGACTATCACCTTCCAAAGATTTGTGGGATCGTATAATGCGACGGCATAAGCAGTGATATAACCCGGATCCACCACCAGGTGATCCTTGGACGCCGCCATCCAACCCCGAGGAACCCCGTCCACCACCAGCGGCATCGACTTCGTCAGGAGAGCGCCAGCCCCACCGTATTCGACCATGCCGCCGCCTGAAATGACTTTCCAGCCGGCGGGAACTTGGACCTGGACTTCTGGGTGCGACGCGACGCTAGACCTTTTCTCGAAGCGCTTCAGGATCATTGGGGGAGGCGGGGCAGATTCATGTGGACTCTCTTTCTCTGTCTTTTTCGAACTTGAAGCATCTATTAATGTTGAGAAGTGAGTTCATAATTTGAAATGAATCCTATAATTACCAAGAAATCTATATCATATAGAATATTTGGGACAATACGCGAGGGAACTTCCTGCATCGTCATTCCCCTCTTTCAAATAGTTTCACAATTTCTGTACCCAGTGATATCTCGAAGTTTCAATTTCGTGACATGAAGGCAACGTTTTTCGATGCTGCTGTTTACATTCAAAACTGACATAATTGTAAGGTAACTACTTCAATGCCAACGCTTGGTTGAGATCAACCAATTATGAACCACGTGTAACAACGGAGAAAGCTGCCATTAAACACGCTACCTTTTCCCCCCAAAAAAACATGTTTGAAAACTTACCCACTGAGGCGATTCAGATGCTCCCTTCGCAATAATGAAAATTCATACAAAATAATTCTTGCTATTCCATAATATAATACTGAGTCGGGTACTTATTCAGCCGCATGCACCAGGAATCATAATTACTCTTAAAAAACAACAAGATGACGAAGGGAAGTCGGATCGTAATTGTGGCCTAGTGCAGTTAAAAATAATTCCAAGGAGCATTCGATGGACAGCACAAGAATGAGCTCACATTGGTCTTAAACCAAAAAATTGCTGTTGGATCCGACAGCGGAAATTCCCCTGTCTAAAACAATTTTGTTTGACAGTGTTGTGATATAGATGAATGTAGGTTACATAAATCAAAGTTCTTTTACCCATAAGAATACCTAGAGTACTCAATTGCCGCGTGTTTCCGAATGATACTTAAAGTATCGCAACGAAAAAGGACATCAGTTCTTGTTAAAAGAATAAATTTTTCTTGGGCATCTGAACCAATTTGTAATATTGAATCCGATACATAGAACGTGGCCGCAACTATGCTAGCGAAAAAAGTCGATATCGTTGACATGGGCATAATTGTGACTCCTCACCCCTTTGGAGCGATCCCAAAAGCGATGGCAGCTGTCCATCCGGGTTGCTCGCCGTCTCCTGGAACGCGAAAGAGTTTTCGTTCACGGGAATCACACGGAATGAAGAATGAGGGATCCACACAGACCTTGGCTTGGCCGAGGAATAGGAGAGGGAGGACAAAGGCGAAGGCGAAGCAGTCCATGTCGATGCCGGCGAATCTCTGTGGAGGTCTGCCTGGATCGCAACCCTTTTTATACCCTGCGTTCAGGCATTTTCCCGCCCCCACATCCATCTTCTGACGAAAAAAATGGTCGCAGGTGCGCTTTCAGAAGCGGCGCTTTGCAAGTTTGTCGATTTCCTCTCGTTGCTTGCTGGCAAATCTATATGGGATATGCGCACTATTTTGTCCTTTAAGGATACACGCACACGAAGAGAACTCCCGTATTCTCACTTGATCTTTAAAAAATATTTCGTCCTTATAGAAAAAAAATGGACTCATTTTCCTCTATCCAACTGGTACTTTTTTTTCTCGGGCTTTGATAATGCTCACAGAAATGTGCTCGACTTGTTTTGTCGGGGAATTTTTTTTTAAGAGGATAACATATCGGTGATTATCCTAATCAAAACGTGATTGGGGAGACCTCATTCCAACGTCTGGTACGAAATACATTTTGTGCAAGACGTTGCGATTCAGCATTCATGAGTTTGGTGATAAGTTTTCCTGATTTATTCTGCTGTATTTCTCATGAAATTCCTTGTCGTTGTGACTGCATGGATACATTAAATTTATGCATATTAATGAACACTTCCACGCCCCCCCCCCATCACATTCACTTCCATAAACAAACAAAAAATCCTGCTGATGACTTTTAGAATAGGTTTTTTGTTGTTGAAACTCTTGAATTCATATCCCTTTTCAGAAATTATTGGCGATGTCAAGAATTTTCTGCGAAAAAGGATTGAGCCACTGATGGGAATTATCGATCGATAATGAGCATTGAGTCATCGATGGGACTTAAAGGTCCTGGACCTTTTTCTAGACACGGCACAAGCGTCGTCTTCGCCGTCTCTGCCTCCATCTCCTCTCTCTTGCAAGCAGTCGCTCAACGGAAGCCCTCGGATGCGGCAGAATCGTATCCAGAATTCGTGCAGAGCTTCCTCGTTGCCGGGAAAGCAAGATTCAGAATGCAAGTCCGACTCTTTTGGAACCGCTGCAATCGGCTTAAGAGAAACTTTGCCGAGTTAGGTCTTCTGACAAGTTTGACTAGGGCAAGTTTGCATCTATAGGGCGAGCAGTGTCGACGGCCCGGGTCCCTTTTTCACTCGGAAAGCCACTGATACACGTGACGATCCCTTGTTGCTCCTTAAGGAGGAAATCACCTGCAAAATTTTTCGTCAAAAATTCGAAGTTGAGATATGATAGGAATTGGAGATGTTGAGTGACTTGGAGACAGGGGTCCCAACACGCGGACTGACTTCGGCCCCTTGTACGACTCAAATTTATGAGATCAGTGCGACATTGTGTCGTGGGACTAACACTTCGTCATGCAAAATAAGTTCTGAGCTCTGCCTTCATGGCGGCAATTTCAATACGGGACAGAGAAAATTTATCCAACTTTCACCAATCAGGCAAAATTTTTCTTCGTCCTGCCCAACCCCCCCCCCCACTTCCCCCCCTCCCTACACCCGAAAGTATTGCCTCTTCACAGATGTGATGGGTCATGCAGATGCACAAAGGAGGGCAATAGACGGAATCTCGCAAGAGAGGAGAGAGGTATGGTGCGCGATCTCACGCGATCACATCTTTCTATAGGGAAGCTATGAGCGCAGTAAATCTCTCAAAGCTTCTGCTTTTGAGTAGTGGCGACAGATAAGATTGACTGCTACCTCTATGCAGTACGTATGGTCAATAATTGGTCCTTCATTTTCCAGATGAAGTTTTTCAGTCGCATAGTCATGCCATGCATCACCGTCAAAAAAAAATAATCGGCAAAACACACCAAGGAAAAGGAAAGGAAAAAGGAAAATCGCGTTCGGACAGTCGAATCAACCTTGAGAAGTGTTTCTCTTCCACTCGGCCTCACCATCCCGTGAACCGGGAACCGCCTAAGGCTTTCCTTCAGTTGGACCTCAGATGAGCGGCAGAGACATGGGGCCGTATTCATAACGCAAGAATTCACGCTAAAAGGAGAATCGTTCAACGAATCGACCATAAACGGGGTAAGTTTACGTACCGGCTCCAACTCGCTAAACGAAATTGATTCAAATTCTAAAATTATCTTATCGGCCCATGGACCAACAGTGCTTGCTTTGCGAAGGCTGCGAAACCGACGATCTACTGGGAATTGCTCTCAACAGGTGCAGGAACGAAGTCATGCTTGCATATCGCATCGCTCGGTGCCATGCGAGTACCTTAATAGCTTTATTTTTCACCGCGTAACCTCGTGGCATTTCCCGTGTTCATTTCCGTGCCAGAAACCATTGGTGATGCATTGCGGTCGAAGGGCTCTGATCCCATCTAGAGTTCTTTCGCTTCATCGTTTCGGGAAAGACCGACGTGAACGAGGAACTAGGAGGAAATGCTGTGCAAATACAGTAGCAATTGCTTCAAGAAGACTTCTTGTCGTCTTGCCTCTTGTCGACACATCGAGGATCGACCCACACACTTTGCTAGAAGCGAATCCAATTACACACATTTTTGTTTTCTCGGGAAATAAAGTGATTGCGGGAAGGATCTGTCTCATAGGCAGTGCAGTGTCATCTCTCGGCGGGACCAACCGAAGTGCCGAGTGAAAATCGGAGGGAAAAGATCTCGACATCCTTATTGCAATGTTCGTCTTTTCTCATTGAATGTGAAACTGCCGTACGCTGCTGGCGACCAAAACAGCGAGAGGAAGAGGAGATGGGGGAGGGCAAGGCTTACGTTCCGAGTGGGGTTCTGTCCGATTCTGTTCTCAGCGCCAGCCCGCATTCGTGTCTGCGTTGTGCGACACATGCACTTCCCATTAGTGCGTGCATGCGATTGGGTGATTTGACGCGTCTGGATGGAGAGGACGCAAACATGCTCAGAGTGCAATGGCCTTTGGAACTTATTTTATGCTCCTTTTTCAGTTCTCTTTGGGACCATACGAAAGCCAGAGGAGTAAACCGGAGTTCACTGGGAAAACTAAATGGAATCGTCTTCCACTTGTCTTCCTGAAAACAAGTGGAAAATTCGAAAATTGGTTACACTGATTTGCATGCCGCTGGAAGCAGCTTCATATAGTTACAACTTCCTTGTCTTAAAATTTCTTAAAATTTCTTAACTCTTAGTAAAAGAATCAGTACTTTGTTTTCAAAGGTTTTCCCCTTCCTTCAACCTTTCCCTTCCCAATCCAACGGATGGACTATAACGTTAGGCCTTAGCTTAACTAACGACCTGAATTCAGGTCTGGCCCTGTTTTACCAATTTTCGTTCAAGAGAATCTCATCCCTCGGTTCAAGGGGCGAAGTGAGCCTATGAGGATCTATCTCTGGGTTTTCTAGAACATCTGGTGAGGACGAGTAACGTTATGCCTATCTGGAGCCTCTCGAACCATCTCGCTCGACCCGGATGTCTGCGGAAAGTAGGGCTGTCACGATTGGTCGATGCATCGATACCGCTTTCGATAGTTAGAGATATCGATGGTTTTTTCGACCATCGCAATGCATCGGGAAAGTCTTTTAAAGGGGAATTGTCCCATTGGATTAAGGCGAGTACAGTACAATACAGTCCGCCCGGGCGGGGAAAGGAAGAAGCGGTGGGACCCACATGGGCTTGCGATTTATCACAATCAAATTCCGGAAATGCCGGGACTGACTATAAGAAAGACAAGAGGGGAAAAAAAAGTCGGATCGGAGACAGGAAGTGGGAAAGTAAAGGGGGGAAGACCGAGAATATTTTTTTTCTCTTCTGTTTCTGTCTTCGGCTCGATCTCATCTGGTGCATGCTGTGGAAGTGGACCGTACTTATACTCCCTTGATTTCGAAACCTACATTGGTTATTCCCCTCTCAATATTCCTGTCTATCACTTTAGTATGCAGGCTTAACTTTCTTAATTTTTAACTTGTCCTGGGGCATTTATCTCTATTTAAAGTGAGCTAAAAGTGAATTTTTTACATGGACGTTGCTCATTCTAGGGCTGTACCGATGTTTCGGCAACCGCCGGTATGGCACTATCAGTAGGTTTCCTATCTGGCGGTGCCGATGTCCAAAGACATTGAAGAACGAAGAAAAAGAGATAAAAAATTACGTGAACGGGTCTTGGCAGCTAATTCTCAACAATTGGAAAAAAATTAAGGCTGTCCTGATGCATCCATCGATGAATGGATGTCATCGATAGTTGGAGGCATGGTAGGTTTCCTTACTCTTTGCGAAGGACATGCATCGAATGCATGGTGGGAGCTATATCGCTGATGCAGGGATGTCCATGCGCGGTATGCCCATGCCCCACCACGTCGATCGATCGTCGCTAACTGCTGTTTCGTTCTCACCCCATCCCCTGAAATGTGCACGTAAATGTTTCATACGTTGAAGCGTGACGAATTTTCTCTCTCTGGAAGGGGCTAGCCGAGATCGGCAGCGGGGAGATGCCTCACGTCGGGCGTGAGCACTCCAGCCGTACATCACTGTAGAACGCCTACCGGTCAATTTACACGGCTTTCCGTAAGTGCCTAAGTTATAATCCCTTACGTACCTCGGATGCGACAGAGAAGCCAAGCTTTAAAGGATACCAAGGTCGGCTTTCCGATTCGGTTCCCCGCATTGTTTTTTGCATTTTCCCCCGCATGTCCCCCATTCGGCCCCAGGGTCTTTTGATGCAGGCAAGGCGGGAGAGCAGTTCAAATCTCTTCTGCCTAAGGAGTGGAAGGCAATCCCGTCGCGGTGAACGTGGGATCCGACTCTGAGAGTCAGAGAGTGTTCGAAGGTCTTGAAGGAGGACGAGGCCATTATTAACTGGCATTCCCATAGGTACTATGGGGAAATGCCAGATATTGCGGTTGGTTTGTCACTTTTTTTCTTTTTCTTTCTTTTTTCTTTCTTTCTGTCTGTCCTCAGTAAACATAGCGACCGGAAAACACGACACAATGGGCACGCGCAGCTGTCCGTCTTGGTCGGGGTGCCCGTATTCCACGAAAACATTCACTTCCCTTCCAGCCCTGGCGGCTGACGGTAGGTATAATATGGTAACCCCTCTCGTCGACGAGGGCCGCCACATCTGTCCCAACGCACCGCATGCGCACTTTAAGCGTAGACCGTAGGATGTGTATGAGAGGAGGGTAGAGGTGCGCTAGGCCTGCAGCGAATCATCGAGAATATGTCAAGTTGTCCAGGCCTTTTCATACAGGCCTATGCTAAAATATTGACACCTATTATATACTGCATTTCAAGGTTTGCTGTTTAGGATGCGGTGAATATATGAAATAATTCCTGTGGTACAGGGGCCAGTGGAATGCTAATTCTTTACCTGGGCTGGTTTTCTAATTTTTCATTCGTTCATAATTTCGCAGTTTCGAGAAGTGGTGGACGTCGTCCTTTCACGAGTTTCTCTTCGTTGCATCGTTTTGGGGCGAAATGCGAGCGTTCATGTGTGAATGCCAACAGCATTCCACAAAGCTAAGTTCGCCCTCGTTTGCAGGACGTTGTGGATCAAAATCTCATACGTTAGACGAGTGCAAAGGCCCGTTCTCGTTCACATTACCCGGCGCTCACTTATGGAGAACCAATGGTAAACAATGAGATTCCAACAATTTCAGTTCGATGCCGGAATAATTATAGCAGCGGACAACAAGAGATGAGCGCTCTTGCTCCTGCTCCTCTTCAAGTATCTATTTATACGAGTATACGTTATATATAGCTTTGCGAGTCACAGCAGTTATTAGTAGTAAATCGTTTGGAAGCTGACATCATCAGAGGCATTGAAATTTGGTTTGTCTCATCGAGTATTCTGCTTCATTTTGAAGGGTTTCATCCCGAAGAAGCTTCTGTGGCAAGCGTTCCTTAAATGAGCGACTAAATTCGTTTCGCAGCTCAATGACAAGACTCAAATTTCCGTCGTACTTCGTGATTTCATCTTGGGGTTTGTAATTTGCATTTTTCAACTCGGAGATCCAGCCATTTGGAGCAACGGGACCACGAAGATCTGTACATAGAAATCCGTCTGAAAACGTCGACTTCGTTCGAGAAACGTTTTCACCTGTGGGACAGAGACCAATATGATATAAGGGAGAGACCCATATGTTCCCAGCCGTTGTTGCAGTGGAAACTGCTGGACCTCGATCGTGGGCTGTAATCTAAATTTATTTTATGATTTGTTATAAATACGCCGGCAAATTGCAATCCCATCTCATTCCTGCTTGCTGCAGGAATGAAAACGAGCCAATGAAACACGGACGGAAGTAATAGGGAGGTTCCAGAGGTGACACGGCGCCTATTTTCAAGCAACATGTCTTTTGGTTCCGAGTCCAGCGTTTTGTTCCGCGCGGATGACAAATCCAGTAGTCAGCATGATAGCAACAGAAATCTATTGTTCACTTCAATCAGGAATGGAGTTCAAAGAATAAGCTGACAACAGATTTGCCGCGAAGTGACTCTTCGAAGGGACAGATACGAGGTAGAAAAATGAAAATGAGAATGGAAGCTGTCTTCTCACCGGTTTCCCCTCCGACTCAATTACTGCAGGAAGGAGCTGAGCCCGAACCTGGGACGAGCAAACGAAAGAAATTCGGACTCATCCTCACACGCCTCCATGGAGACGCGAACAGCAATGGAAAGGACTCACCGCACGTCACTTTGCATTTGAATCCCGGTCCGCTCGCCCCAATACTATAAAAGGCGACGCTGAGGTCTTTCCCCACATTCACTGGGCTTTTCAGCTCGGTTGACGATCCGCATGACCTGGGAATAGGAAATTCTAATAATTTTACCCCGTCGAGAGATTCGTTAATTTTAATGCACATCAGAAGTACATCGTCTCGTAAGTCGCGCAACCGGTCAACGACAATTGGTAGCGACGCTTAAGGTGAGTAATGAAGTGAATTCTGTGCATGAAACAATTTAATTTTATTTATTTTTACGTTGCCTTCTGAGCTGCAAATTGGCTGAAAATTTGAGAATCCCAATCCAATTTCGGGAAGTAATCGATCAAAACTGGTTGCAAAAGTTACGCGAACGCAATCGCTTCCCGATGCAGCTGGACCAAAATCTCCTTAAACATTTTTCCTCCCTCACGCTATATCAATCGACACAGAAATCAAGAGAGAGAGAGAAGAAAAGGCGGGGATCGAACTGAGAACATCCTTTGCGCTGCCAAAGAAAAATGCGACCGCTGTGTAACGTGCAGCATATCCGATGCTGAAGTGAAAAGTTTTTTTTAATTCCCACGAAGAAAGCCATCTGTGGCGCAATCGCAAACATGTCTAGGGGTAAGCTTCCGTGGGCATAGAGTACTTTTCTATTTTTCTTTACTTTTATAAATTTTAAATTAATTTTGTTGTTTGTTTATTACTTCATATTACTTTACTTTATTACTTAATATGAGCCATACTTATTTAATTTTCCGCTTAGGAAAAAAAAATGGGAACGAGAAAAGCATGACCACCTCCACATACCGTCATTGCAAAGAGAGAGCTTCGGATATATGCATAATTCAAATTCGACCATTGCTCACTGGCATAACTTTACGTATACATTTGCTTGAAACTTTCCAAAAGGGTAAAGGCACAGAAGGCATCGGAGACGAAAGAATGGGTCGTACCTGTCCCTAACGTTAGCCGCAGCTGGTGTTAGCTATTTCAACAAGTCGACACCACCAGAGATAAGAGTGAGATGTACGGGAAAACAATGTGGGAAGATCAAAGGCATAGGATCCAACGAATCCAATTTTGCATGGACAATGGTGAATCCGATTGGAGTCTCTGCTGAAAAGTTTCATGTCGTGTCACGCTCACCGTCTATTGTTGTAGATGAAGTCGGATTGCCAGCAGAGGAGAGATGAAGGCAGTTGGAAATGAGAGCATTGAAGGGTCATATCTTGTGAGCACTAAAGGAAAAAAATTCATATCCGAAAGTAAGCAATGATTCGTAATGCAGTATGATAACTTGCAAGGCGATCAACTGTTTCTCGCAGTAGCACGTTGCTATGAAGCATTAGCGTGCAGCCATCTTTTTTTTTAAAAAGGAATTCACTAAAGCATTGGAGTTTTTGGCAAAAAAAATGTAGCTGAAGAGTGAATTGAACTATGTGCTTGCAGAGAAATTCACAATTGACTATTTTCCCTATGCAAGAGAGGCAACTTGTTATAAAAAATATAATATATAAAATAGGGACCCTTGAATGGCTTTTCTAGTAACAGAGCGAACCTTATTTTTACACTCCATGCCTCCGCTTGCTCTTTTATCGAGAGTTCACTGGGGTGACCATCCCAGTCCATACCAGTCAGCATCTCCCGTTTATTGATATATTCGCAGGTGACAGTGGACGCACGCAAGAGCTGTATGGAAGTGGCGAACCCGTCCACGAGAAATTTAATTATCATTTACTTGAGTTCACTATTTCGAAAAGCGAATAGAGAATTTCGCTTTTGAACTCGTTGAATAGGTGAAAATTAATTGGAAAATATTGCTGGCTTTGCAAATAGATGCTCCAGTGAGCTAAGGAGATGACAGTGAAAAAAAATAAATGTAACGGAACAAAACGGCAGGACCCACCGCGAAGCTCCATCTACAAAAATGCAGGGACGGGTAGTTGTTTGGAAAGTTTTCGCTCATGATGAGCGAGGACTGTCCCAAGGAGAGCCAGGACTGCGTCCCACAAGACGGGTATGAGCCGAACACAACATTCTTGCATTGAATCGCATACACCGTCAGCTTCTTGGGGTCCGGGAGCTTGAGATCCGTCGCCTTTCCGAAAAAACTAGATCCGTCGCAGGAGGGCACGAGCCCCACCAACATGTTTCCTTCTCCACCGCGATCGGCAACAGCTCCACCTCCAACTGCGAGGAAAATCAACTGATCGATGAATGCCTCTCAAGAAGCATCGGTCTAAAATTAATTTCCAGTGAGGTCTGTATTGCGTATCCATTGTTTCAGGACGTCTTTTGGTATTTGCGTGGTAAAAAAAAAAAGACTTCCAGTCCCGTTGTTCGCTGAAAGGGAACGGTCGATTGGCGTGAATTTGGCGTTATCTTAGCAAGTAAAATTCAAGTTTTCTCTGACGAACTCAATGAAACCTAAACATGAAGCAAAGAAAGTTTCCTGACTAAACACAAACTAAAGACTAGAGTACCATCCCAGTTATAGATCTGTCATTTCACTGGCTAATACAGGGTAAATGGTCCAGTGATGGACCTGTCCCCAGTGATGGGCCACAGCGCGTAAAAATTCCAATAGGAAAGCTTCCATGGCACGCCTACCCCTGTTCTGACATTATCTAGTCGCATTCAAGCCCGTACACACTTTTAGAGGTGGTCATGGAACAAATACCTAATTCTTGGAATTTTCCTACAACGTGTCCCATCACAGAGTTCCCGCCCTTAACAGGCCCATCACTGGGTCTTTTACCCTACCTCTGGAATTATCCTTCTTTGACGCATCTTAAGCATCCAACTTAGAAAATGAAAGCTTTCATTGATACATCATATGCCTATGGAATAGTCCCTGACAAGACAATGTCCCCGATGGTTCGCGCGTCCGCGTCGCGTGGAGATGGGAGGACAGTATGAAGTATAGGATGCCAGATATGAAATTTCACGCGTACGCCTAGCAACACTGTCTACGCGGCCGGGAGAGGCCGTTCTCCTCCATTGTCTACTATGGATCCGTTAACCGCCAGGTCTGGAAGGGAAGTGGATGATTTCGTGGAAGACGGGCACCCTGACCCAGGCGGAAAGCAGCGCGTGCGCATTGGATTGTGTTGTCCGGTCGCAATGGTTACTGCGGACAGATGGAAGGAAAATGAAAAAAAAGAGGCAAACCAACCACAATATCTGGCATTTCCTCATGGTACCTATGGGAATGCAGATAATAATGTCACCGATCGTAAACGTGCCAAAAGTGGTCCTGTAGGAATTTTCTGTGACGTAGGCAGGGGGGTGACAGAGACAAGGGGGACTCAAACAGTTCGATTCGTCAGCTCAATCGTATCTCCTTGCTCTTTTTTCGGATGCCTCAATAGAACCCCCTCCCCAAAAACCGGTTCCAGGAGCGATACTAAAAAAAAAAATGTTGCGCTTTTCTTGTTATAAGAAGAAAAACAAGTGACGAATAGCGAATTGCCCCCCCCCCCCCCTTCCCCCCTTAGAATGCAATGCCGTTGAAATTGAACTACTTTTTTGGGATAACCTAGTCGTTCTGAAAAGGAAACTCAGACATGTACTCGCCTATTGCATATCCTGTAGATGCTTCCACAGTCTCAGAAGGACTCCGATCTTCAAAGGAGATGGAAGTCTTCAACGAACATGTCGGCTTCCCAAAGATTACGCTTCGCACTCCGATTGCGAAAGCTTTAATCTTCGCCGGCGACGCATCTATGTGGTCCTTGCCGCCAGCGATCCACGATTTCCCGTCGTCACTGGGTCGACTTTCGACGAGGAGATTGCCTGGCTCGGTAAACATGTCGTAGGCGCCACCTCCCACCAAAGCGAAACCATCTTCGAGTTTCGCGGAGATCACCGGATTTCGTTGCGGTGCTCCCAGCTCCTGCTCCTTGACCACCACTTCCCATTTATCATTCGGATCATACAAGGCGATGGCATAAGCGGTCAACACGCAAGGATCTGGGATGAAGTGATTCTTCGATGCAGCGATCCAACCCCGAGGAACCCCGTTCACCACCAGTGGCATCGACTTCGTCAGGAGAGAACCGGCCCCACTGTAATTAGCCATGGCGCCGCCAGAAATGACTTTCCAGCCGGCAGGAACTTGAACCTGGGCTTCCGGATGCTGTGCGAAGGTGGACTGCTGCTCGAAGCGCTTCAGGATCATCGTAGAAAATTGGGCAAGGAGACCTGACTGCCCTGAGGCTTCCAAACCTGTTGGTGTCGGAGGTTCGTTCATAATTGACACGAATCCTTTTATTCCCAAGAGGCATTTAAAAGAGATGGATTGCACTCATAGAAACCTTCCATATCTTCATATCTGAATTCGATACATAGCCTACAGTTGTTCAGAGTCTGCCTATGCTACAGAGCGATGGAAATATTATTTCAGAAAAAAGTGGTTTTCTTTTCTAAAGAAACAGAGCTGTGCACTTTTCTTTCCTGAGTTTTTTTGCGCTGTTTTCTCATCATTATCTGGTTAGGACGAGAGGAAAAGGAAGAGAAAGGATACTTGAACAGAAATTGATCAAATTACAAACCCCAAGCGATAATAAAAATAATTTCCAATGTTCAACCCAAAATATCGCCTTTCCCTCACCCTCACGATTCCTAAGAGCAAATCGAACTCGAGGAGTATTGAGTAACAGGCTTGACTTCGTGGTTTAAATTCCAAGCCTGCCTGAACATTGAATTACGTGGTGCGCATCTCCGCATGATAATCCCGTGATATAAACGCCTTCTAAGAATGTAAATGGGTCTTTTTTTGTAAAAATAATCTGAAAATGTGAGATTTTGATATCATATGCTTGAAGAGGTGCTTAGTCTGAAATTAATGCGACAATCTGCTGTCAGCAGAAGAGGTCATAGGAGCACGTGTTAAATCTTCACGGTCTTCGGCAGTTTATGCCTCTCCTTTCTCTCTACGAGAATATACTAAAATAAAAGCAGAGAGGGATCAGATAAACTTTTAAACAAGATTCATGCCGGAAGGGAAGAGTGAAGGCAAGTGAAAAACTCCGGCTTTATCGACCCCTAGGGTCCACTGGCTTGGATCTCGTTCCCTCTTTTGTTCCTTTTCCAGCCCGGTGAAGAGTCTCATTCAGATGAGTGCAAAAAAAAGAACACTAAAACATGGCGGATTTAAGAATGCGAGGAGGAGAACCTAGTGTGTTAGACTAGTAGAGAAGTACAGCACGAGTATCGGGAGGGAAATGAGAGGAAATGAAGTCGGCATCCAAATCGCTTGGGCCATTAACTAGCATCTTGCCAAAACACGTTGAGCTCGCCACGTGACGTCATTAAGCAGATAAACCATGAGTTGACCGGCTGCCAAATAGGTCTCGATATGGATTTGCCTTTCGAAGCAAATGGGATTGAGAGTTTTCTCCCTTCTGCATCAATAATACAGAAGAAAAAATACAAAGAAAGTTGTTGCTCTGTGAACTGAATTTTCCCTGGATATGTCCGAGTTCGTTTCATATCTGTTTCATTCACTGTATGCGCATGATTACGTAGGTCGAGGTACATAGAAACTGCGCCGTTGTGAAACAGCACTTGAATGCCTCAAACTCCGGCACTTGAGGCTAAACAATACGATTGTCGTCCTCTATCCTGGAAGCGCATGAGCTTCTCCAATTGGCTACAGTAAGTATTATGGCTTACTGGGTGTTCTCTCAGAAGACCAGCTGTTACGAAATACAGAAATCCTAGCCACGGATCCCACGGAGAGCGCGATCGAAAAACGCACCTTCCTTGCTGAAGGATCTTTCGACTCGTCTAAAGTATATATACAAAGTATGCCAAATGCGGAGGGATTGAAGGCATTCAACCGAAGGATGGAAATTGATGCCTGCGAGGGGAGCCGAGACAGGCAGCATTCTCTCCCCGCGTGCGCGCCTCCTCCCTCGGCTGCGCGATATGCTGAAGAACTTGTCGGCTTTTGGCGAGTTCGTCGCGTGGGGCGGTCGATCTCATCGTGACCGATTGCGAAATGGTTTTCCGAGTCATCGGGCTGATTCGTTGAGATGGACGATGAGCAGTATCATGTGATGCGATGAGCATGAAGTGATAGCATGCATTTAGCAAGGTCTCAAGTCGGTCAGTTCATCATTATTGATCTGTGGATCCTGGAGCAACAGCTCCGTCATTCTTTTGGCGAATACTTGACATTTTAAGATCTGTGGAATCTTTGGTCTTCACTTCCGAATATTTAATGAGAGTCAAAAGTTCTGCCACGCTTGTTCGAGGCTCTTTTCGGAGCATCAGGAACTCATTTACTGGACGAACTCGGTACGGAAATGAAAGCCCAGACTCTCTTCTTTAAGAAAGTGCAATCCCCGTAAGTCTTTCAATTCTTTTAGTCGATTCAATTCTTCACTTAATCTTTCGTTCTGGTTCAAGGACTCGAAAAATTTCTTGAAATCGTTTCAAAACTTTCCCTGGCGAGGATGTAAAACCGCGACGCGAAATTCCATGCTTCAAATTGAGAAGCCCTGAAAATTTACACTGGGTGAGTCATAATTATGCACCCGCTCATGAAGAAGAGAGGACTCCGCCTGTGATGCAGCGATTGCTGCACAGAATAATCTGAGGGAAAAATACCAAATTAAATTCGAAATTTTCTTGGATCTGAAGGAAGGATTCATCATGAGAGCCGCAGGTTCTTATAGAAGACAGTCGCATCGATTTTCACATTCGTACACAAAATTTGCCCTGCCGATCAGGTTATGTTGCTCATAGTTGACAAAGTAAAGCAGGACATTTCAAGAGGCAGTATAGATTACGTCGATTCTCCCAGTCACCTCATTTGGCACAGAAATTGCTCGAGTTCATACGAAAAAATGCGAACCCACACAGCGCGGATATATCCCAAGGATATCCCCTTGGGACAAGTGCGATGTCCCAGAGACAAGGAGTAGGGACATCTTAGGGATATCGAAATGTCTGGGCCCCATAACATCCCAAGGATGTCCCTTTCTTGAAGAACCAGCACATCCCAGAGATTTCCCAGGGATATCCCCTTGGGACAAGTCCCGGACATTACGTGTGGGGACATCTCAGGGATATCAAAATGTCTGGGCGTAAAGACATCTCAAGGATGTCTCTTTCTTGCAGCACAAATATATCCGAAGTGAGAAGTCCCAGGTAGTACTTGCAGGCGCCTTCCTATCCGCAATGGATACATTACCTACAGCACAGAAGAACCCATTACTTTCGGTTTGTCTCAATTTAATCTAGGAACACCTAATCTTAAGTTCTTGACCGATTGACGAGTGACGATTAAAGAGAGGAAAATCCAGTTCTTAAAGGGGGCCCCATCTTAGGAGACACATCACCATGGGAACGATATTTAGCACTTTCATATGAGGGGTCATGGACGAGATGATTCAGCCTTACGTCTTTTGAAAAGTATGGGCTAAGGCCTCCAACTAAGATAGCTTTATCCAGACATGCCAATCACTCATCATTAAATAGAATATAGCGGAATAAATTAAAATTCGGACCGCAGTTTCTTCACTTTCCCTGGTGGCAGTTTTCCTGGTGTACGGTACGAAAATCCTTACTTATCCTCGGGACAAATCAAGTTGATAAATTTGATTGAAAAGATCTGAGGTTGCAGATCAGGGCTCACGGGAGACATCTACCGTCGAAGTTATGCACCTGTCTGAAGGCGACAGAGAGCACTGAAGATCCCTAAAGACATCCCTAAGATGTCCCTAAGACATCCTCCTCAAGATATCGAAAGGCGTTCGACTGAAGATGTCTTCAAGATATCGCCGCCAGGATATCCAGAAGCATTCGACAAAGGATGTCCTAAAGATATCCCGAAAGGGATATCTCTAAGATATCGACCGAGGATGTCAAAAAGACGTCTCTTAGATATCCCGAAGACATCCCTTACGAGATGTCCGAAACCGTCCGAAAGAAGATGTCTTCAGGATATCCTATGAAGACGAGGGGACAAGTCGTCCAGTTAGGGACATCCCTGGGATATCACTGTGCTGTGTGGGAAGAATCGAACCCGCCAGATGCCACGAAACTCAGAGTGCCTAAATCGCTACGGCCCACGGAGGGCAGAGGAAGATGCGGGCAGCTACCGTCATGCCGCTGTTCAAGGGGGTTCCCTTCGGCAACTTCACCCAGTTCTGCGTGAGCAGATGTGAGAAATTTATGCACGTTTTCGCGACAAAACGCCACTTTTTCGACGAATCTTCCTCGTCGGAATCCTAGGACTGGGGATTCCAGAATGTTCTCATTGGAATCAGCTACAGAAATGCTCTCGGGCGATAATGAGTGCCATAATATGGGCTGGTTTAATTCATGCCGACCTGATTTAATTGACTTCTATGGAAACCGGTAGAGCTACGTCGACCTCATATCCGTAAAAACCCATTATGTCAATTTCCGAAGCCACCATCAGAAGTTTATGTCCAGCATGCGTTTCCTTTACATTATAAAAAAAATACAAAATCATAGCCTTGAGAAATCGCGACCTAGAGACGCCAAACGCTCGGGGAATATGAGCAGGCAGAAGTGTCAGAGCGCCTCGAATTCCCGCCAAAACGACCCAACTCACTAAAAGCCTCCGTATCTACGTGGAAAACCGTGAAGGCCGATATGGAAGGTTTCATCCAGCAAAACCCGCTAGTTTTTCCTCACTCATCAGAACTGATCGAGGTGCCGACGTCACCGACCCTCCGTCTCCGATGCCCGCTGTCTCCTGGAAATACAAAAAGGTAGAGTTTCAGATGCCGTATCTCTCGATCGCAAAGAATCGCGCAGACGCAGACCGTGGCGTATGCAAGGAGCAGGAGGGAAGGGACGAGGGCGAAAGTCAATTCCATGTTGATTCCGACCCAGATCTATGGATATTTCACGTATCAGGCTGGGAGTAATCCCGTCGTCGGTAGGAGACGGGGATTAGTAGATCTTGTGTTCGGTCCAGCAAGAAAGAAAACTCCATCGTCCATAATCAAAACTAATTAAGATTTATTATTCTAGCCAGCGATCCTCCACACGATCCCACCGCCGCGAAGACAAACGAAGAAAAAAAAAAAGAAAGAACGAAGAACACCAACAGACACAACACCAATGACACCGGGGTAAACGCACCGATCCAGGAGGATCTCCCTCTGGAAAGCGAAAGACTGCATGAGCAAAATCGAGAAGAAAATGGAAATTGCCCTGATCTTCCTTCCCTTTAACTCCGACCCACCCAGTACGTAACAATCCGCGTTC